TGTATTTGAATGAAACTATTCTGATTTGTAATCGTTTCTCGGTCATTGTAAGTTCCCTGGAAGATCAATCTAATGGTCGAAAAATTTGTCTTTAAAACGTTTTTTCTTCATTTTCAGTTCATATTAGAATGTGTTGGATTATATTTGCTCATGTATGCGAATTTGAACAGAACAAGTAATTGAATTGACCAATAAAATATATCAATTAGAAAATTTCGCTTTCATTTGTCAGTGTCAATCGAAATCAAAACGAAATCTTATTAAATTATTTTCCATTCGTTCTTGGATAACATTTGTAAATCAAATTAAATCATCATACCATTCACTATTATAATAAATTGATTAGCTATCGTTTACTGAATCAATACACTGAGATATTGTTTTTGATTTAAATCAATAATCAATGAAAATATCATTATAAGTTATTCCTCAATTGAAGGCAAATCAAATCAATTTACAAAAAGTTCATCAGTTTTTAATTCATTTGTAATCTAAGTAATGACGATAATAATTATAAGTCATCATGATTGAGCTAAATTCTGAAAATTTTTTACTTTTATGAGACTTGAAACAATCGAGAAATCAAAATTCATTAAAGCCAAAGACGAATGAATTTCAACGTTTCAATTTTTACTTTCTATTGATTTCTAATAATATTTTAGCATTTCGGTGGCTGATTCTTGGACTTACGAACTATAAATTGCTACGATTTATCGGTGACATTTTCACTTGTATCAATGATCGGCAATTCCCATTACTGTGGTTCTTATCTTCCTTAATTGATTGTCTTCATCCATGGAGTTGAACATGAAAATATAACTATTGAACTATTCAGGAATCGTGAAAATATCATGAAATTTGTACCTAAAAATTTTTCAGATTTCCATTGATTTGGTAATAAGGATGACGATGATTACAAATTATCATCATATTATGAATTAAGTAATCATAATAATGAGAATGAGTATTGGATAGATTCTGATAAAAGTAACTTCAGTTAGTTGAATAGTTATATTATCATGATGATGATTATTATTATCATCATCATGCAATGGGTGAAAAGTTGAAATCATATTAATGGTTTTCTCAAGATGAAAATACATGATAAGGTTAACAGATTATTGGACTTGGAACTTTTTTTTCAGGCTCATATTTTTTCATCATGATTATGAAAACGAAGTAGAAGAAGACGAAAAAAAAACTTAATTCGAACTTTTTTTTCTGGCCTGTCATTAATACTCTAGACAGGATGAGTCTTTGTGGTTATCATGATGAAGATGATGGAGGAAGAGGAAGACAAGATGATGAAAAATGATGGTGAAAAATAATCCACCCAAAAATGAACCAGAATAAAAGTAAATTAAATGTAACTAAAATTGATATTGAATAAATTACCACGATAAATGGTTGATCATCCAGAGGTTTAATTGATGATATCGATATGATTAGAATTGATGATGAGAATTATCATCTTAATCATCTTATTTAGCATCTTCCTTTTACTTTGGGATGATCGGGACAATTGATAACTTTATCTTCCTCCTCCTTCATCATCTCATTATCCATCAGCTTACCTTTCATCATTATCTCTCATTTTCAATTCTGTTAATCTGAATGATCATCATGAAAAATCAGAAGGTTGAATCAATAAGTAATCAGACAAACTATTGATGAGAAAAAAACATCAACATTGCAATGAGAGGATGATGATGATGATGAACATATTATCTCAATTAATCATTTATCAAGGGTGGAGGTGGTGGGATTGATTAACATGATAGAATGAAAAAAAGTTCTGAAAGTTTTTCGTTCTCATATTCATGATAATACCTTATGGTTGATCTATTTTCATCATTCCCAGTTGATGATAATTTCAGGTATGAGTGTGTATGTATATCAGAATCATGAACTTTTCGTGCAAAAATTTCATCTCCAGAATGATCTAGTTTCCCACCATCATGGTGATTCATCAATGAACAGTCTGAGAATGAATTTAGCTCAATATTGAGATTGAACTTTTTTTTTTCTTTCTGCTACCAAAAAAAAAAGAACAACAAGAAATATAATCAGAACCGGAACTTTTTTCTCTCACTCATGATAACATGACAATTCCAGGGGATGTTCTGAACAGATAGTAGGCAAAAAAAATAGGTGAATAAATGATAAGATGAATTAGATTTCCATTGGACCGAATTTCCAAATTTTAATTATCATCATGATCCAGGGTAACATTTCAACCTTCATTCAGAATCAAGAACTGAATTAATTGTTTCTCTCTCTCTTTCTTTTTTCTTTATTTTGTGATACAAATGTTTCCAAATCCATGTTAACTCATGTTGTTCAGTTACGATTCTGATTATTTATCTCAAATCAACAATCATGAAGCTGAACTTTTGTTCAGCTTTACTCTGAACCGATTTTTTTACTCTATTTTCATTGGTAAATCCCAAACATGATTTTGAATTGAAATTCAATGTTGATAATGATTATCATTTGTTATTTGCTGGTTGATTTAAAATAATAATAATGTTGATTGTTAAAGATAAATCTCTGATTGTTAACCATTGATTGTTTGTTCACCATGATTTCGAGCAGTTATCTTATAATGTTCAGAACTTTTTTCTTTATTTCTTCTCGAAACTTATTCAATCCTTGAAAAGAAAAAAAGTTTTTCGATTTGTTTTTTTTGCCTCTTCTAATCACGATTTAAGAAACTATTCCAAATCATTATCAACAATTCAATTCGATGATTAAATCATGATTAATCATGATAATGATTACGAATCTCAAAATGATCAGGAATCTTCATTCTCATTCCAAGTGATTTAATTTTCCTTTGATTGTAATTGTATTTTTCTTGAGAAGTTTTTTTTTGTTAATGATTAACTTTCATTCAGTGTTAATAATTTACCCTGTACACTTCATTAATTGTGTTAAATTAACAATTGACCAACAATCAATGATAATAACTGATAATCAAGAGGGAATCAGCTTAATTGTGGTTACATTTTGAATCGTTGGTTGAAAAAAAAGGTAAACTAATACAAACAATTTAATCAATATCATAATTTGAGTAACAATTTAAAGAGGACATTGTTAGTTGAGTTGATTATTGATTGATTATTATTAAATTGTTGCTGAAAAATTAATGATCAGTGAATGAAAAAAAAAACAACAACAACAAATATCAATGAAGTTTATGATTGTATTTATAAATTTAATTGATTGATTTTAATTGTTATCATTCAATTGGGTTTTGTTAACTTTAATTGTAATAATTGTTTGTTTTGAAATGAAAACAAGATTATCGGTAAAACTTTCATTCAATTAATCACTTTCTTAATTTGCTTCTGATGATAATTTAATTTGATTGGGAAAATGATTAAATTGTAATAAAAAAAGATTCCGATTTTTTTATCATCACATTTTGTGTCAATCAATTGTTACCATGATTGATTTTATATTGATTCAGTTTGGTAAATCAAAATCCCTTGTCAATAGTTAATTTGATTGATATCAAATTGTAATCAAAATTTTGTTCAAAAGTTAATATTTAATTGTGATTAGTGTTATTATTTTAAATGATCGAGGAAAATTTCAATCAATAGATTTAATCAAACCTAACAATTGAATTTTATATAACTAAATTGATAATCATTAGGATCTTAATGATGATCATCATGAAGGTTTACAATTAAATTTATTGATTGGTTAAAATGGACCAGAAAAAAAATAATAGACAATCAGTTAATCATCAACAATCAATCAATCAATTAAGGATAAAAACAAGAAACAAGTAAAGTAATTAAATCATTGAAAGTAAAAGAGTTGATTGTTAACCAAATTGATTTATCAATCAGAATTAGATTTAGCTGATGAACTGTTTTTAATCACAGAGAGAAAGTTAATTTATTAATTGTTAGCAATCAAGAGGAATCTTAATTATTGTGAGAGTTTCTAATCGTGAAGATAGAAAAAGTATCTCTGGATTCATTTACAAACTGTCGAGTGGCCCAATAGCATATGAATCATCACGTCAATCGATCATTGCATAAAGCACCACCGAAGCTGAATATATCGCCGTCTGTTCAGCTATGAATGAAGGAAAACACCTAATTAGCTTGTTGAGTGAGCTAGAATATCGAGAAGAAGCCGCAGAACCGATATTGCTATATAATGATAACACGAGTACGATAAAGCTGGCGAAAAATGATCAAACAAGCAAGAAGACAAAGCATATTGATCTTCGTTTCCATAAAGTCAAAGAACATATAGCTTTGGGTCATTTTAAAATTGCTTACATGAGCACTGATGACATGCCAGCCGATATTCTAACAAAAGCTCTTACAAGAAACAAGCATGAAAAATTCTGTAAAGAATTAGGAATCACGGTTTGAGGGAGAGTGTGAGAGTTTGAAAATTTAAATGTAACAAACCGTTGATTGTGGCTATAGAGATTAAGTAATCAGGTGGATTACTTAATCTTAATCTAGATGCTTCTAGATTGTCTGTTGCAATATATATATAGCCACAGCCTCTCTCATAATTTAACCTAGTCAATCTAGTTGTCCTAATGTCTTCCTAATTGTCAACCTCTACATCTCCATAATTGTGTCACTATTTAATCTCATCTTTTGTTTAGTTCAATAAAGACTACAAAGTCTCAATCGATATCCACATCTCTCAATTATCAAGGTAATTATCATAATTTATCATTTATATTGATTAACTTTTGGACAATTTAATCAATTATCTAGCTGATTATTAACAAGAAAATGATCAAATTTAATTGAATAACTTCATTCAACAATAACAATGTATTCAATTCAATTTACTTCAGGAATCAATTTATTCCCAATGAATGAATTGATAACATAAATTGAAATTTATATTAACTTTTTTTTTTTGATTATTACCATTAAAGGTGCTGATTGTTTGTTGATTGTTGTTGATCATGATAATTTAATATATATTCAAATAAATTGTGTTTATATATTTACCTTGAGAGGTTGATAAAAGTTGAAGATAACTGCTTAATAAAGCAAGTGACATAATGATAACAATTAAATAAATCAGTGAATCAGTTGATTCCGATTGTGGTTTACAATTAGTTAAACAACCAGAGTTAATTTGATGATTAAACAAAGTCAATAACAACATTTGAAATCCAATGATACATAAATTCACTCATAACAATTAGTCAAAATGTACACACAAACTGAGATAAAACATCAACAACAATTAACTAATCACTTGAAAGATAAATCCAGATAAAAATGAATCCACAACAACAATTAAAACTTAATATTAAAACAGAGAGACAAAATAATTAGTCTATCAATTGATTGTGATCACAATCAAGAGCAAAACAATTAACCTCATGGTAAAGGTTATGGTGATGATGATGATGATCGTCAACAATTAGTAGATTTAAATGAGTAACAATTAGCTGGATAATTAAAGTTTCCAATTCAAATGTTTCTCTTAAAGTGAAAGTTTTTTTGTTTTTCTTACTCGATATTACCTTTAACTCACCAAATTCAATTGGATTCATGAGCAGAATCAGTTCAGAACTTCATCTAAGTTCAACTCTGGGAATATAATATAAGGTGGGGAGTGGGTGAAGGTGGGTGGGAGGTTGACAATATATAGTTGTAGTAATAATAATCCAGATAATCATGATAATAATAATAACCATCGGATAGATTGATAATCAGAGTCTGTCAACCTTTGAGAATGAATTTTTTTGTTATTGTTAAGTTTTTATTTCCAATCGAAATGATTAATGTTTAATCATAAATTGTAATCATGATTAAATAATTACAATTATTACCAACGAAACAATTTGATTGTGATTAACATGATCAACAAGAAAGAGGACTTTTTTGATGCCTCGATTTGTGAAGATTATGATTAAGATTAACGAGTTGATTGTTAGGATTAAGAGAGAGAGAGAGAGAGATTGCCGATTTGATTATTAAGGCTTATTATTGATCAAACTTTAAATTGTCATTAACTTTTGTTGATTGTTGTTGTTTCTATCATAAAAATAACATTGTTTTGATTTCGCAAAGTGATATAATAATAATAATTGTAAGTTCATGATGAGATTTACATAATTATTAGGAAGACAATCAAGAAAAGGATTAAGGCGATTAAGGTGATTGATTAATGATGAATTAAGGTGATTGTGGTGATGATCATTGATTGAGATTATGAAATTGAGTTTACGAGACTGTAATTGTTACAATTAACTTTTACAAAACAATTTAAATTGCTAACGAAAAGCAAGAAAAAAATATTTTTTCACTTTACACTTTTAAATATTTATAATATTTTTTTTCATGGTAATAACTTTTTTTCCCATATTAATAATAACAATTAACAGCAATTAACAATTTGGCTTGATCAAAATTTGTCCATTTGTCCAATTGTATATCAACTCCAGGATTCATTTGATTCCTTGGATAGTTGATAACTTTTAAATCAATAGGGTCCAATCATTTAATTGTGATAAAACTTTTCAAAATTTTGATTATGTTTTAAATTGTTCCAAATCAAATTTTGGTCATGATCAATAATCAGTGTTCAATTGTTAGCGGTTATCGTTATCATTTCCTGGTTCCTTGGTTTATTTGTTGATCGCTTAATTGTTGTGGAAAATAAAACAAAAGTGATTTAAATAAACTGAGTAACCCAACACACAACAATTAACAATGTGTTGATGGACTTGATTTGTTACCATTTAGTAATTTGTTGGGATTGACTAGTCTTGGTGATGAAGGTGGTGAAAGTGATGAAGGTGAAGATGATGAAATTGGTCCGGTTGATGTTATTTTTGATTGATTGACCAATGTTGATAATGAATTAATCAATTTACTAATTTCATCGTTGTATTGGTCAAAAGATTCAATGGACTTTGAATAATCATTGGATAGGGTAACCAATTTACCAATAATACCCTCGATTTTGGTGGTTAAATGTTTACTTTTTTTAACATCCTTGAGACTTTCAATCTCCTTAATCAGTGATTTTAATTTTGGATCAAAATTGGATAAGGAACTTGAAATAGATGAACTTTTCTCGAGTAAAGTATTGGAGGTAATTAGTGTTGGACAAATTTCTTTAAGACATTGTGTCAATTTCATCTGATCAATGGTAACAATTGACTCTCCAAGGTTGATAGTTAATTGCTGATGTTGATTATTGTTTGAAAAAATGGCATTTAATTGTCTTTTTAGATCCTTTGATTCTGGATTGAAATTATTATCATGAAAACGTTTAATGAGTGAAGGTGATGTTGTTGTTGTTGTTGTTGTTGTTGATTTAATTGCTGGTGAGTAACCATTGGTCATTTTGCCACCACCACCATTTGATAAACGTGATGAATTATTGTAATGATGATTAGGTGAATCACCGTTTGATTTAAAGATTAAATTATTCTCAGAGGGAAGATTAAGATCACCTTTTCCATATCCATTGAGCATCATCAGGCTTTTCTCTTTACGAGTTTCCTCATCTTCCTCCATCTTCATTTTACTCATCATTCCGATAATCCGACGTGAGGGCTCTTCGATAACCGAATCATAATAATTACCACCTTCTCCATCTTGATAATCATCTTTCTTTCCACCATATTGATTATCAATATCATCTCCGCCATCGGTATCAAGAGTATCATTGGTTGAGGTTCGAGGTCGTCGTTGATGATTAAAATTGTGATGATGATTGGTGATTGACGTTTCATTGGTCATATCGGTTGAACTTTCCAGGCTTAACGATTCATTAATTGCAAATAGATGATCACAACCAGTTCCCGACGATGAACGGTTATCAAGTAGATCACTGGTTGAAGTACCATTAAGTATTGTTGAGTGAAGATTATTACGTCCTGGTAATCGGCGACCTTTAGGTCCTCGAGGTCGATTTTTTTGCTCACAGTGTAATATGGAAATGGGCTCAATACGATCCGAGTTAAACGCTAATCCATCAGCGGGTGCGGTTTTATGTTTACTACTTGCATCCACTGCGTCACCATTAGCACCAGATTTTGATTTATCATGACGACGGCGACCTGGACCTTTACGATTTACTCGAGCATCTTTAATTGCGTTCTGAATTGAACTGATCCACTTGAACATTTCTAAGGCACTATCAGCGGCAAAGATATGTCGAGACTGGACAAACAAAAGAGAGAGAGAGAGAGAAACAATTAAAACAAATAGTTAATTAGTTATCGATTAGTAAACAAATTGAAATCCAATCAACTAATCATGATTGTTATTAAAAGGGTGGCAATTAGTTTTCTCAAATCGCATTAAAAATGATTAGGTAAATCACATTGTTGTTGTTGTTGTTTTAATAACAATAATTATCATTGAACAATTAACTGATTACAATGATAATCATTAACTAATATAATGATAATGATGGTTAATATTATCAATGAAGGCTTTTTAATGGCTCTTGTAATAATTAAATTGTTATGTTTGTTTCAATGGTGATAATCAACCAACCACACAATCATATTTACAGTTAATTGTAAAATCTATTATTATTATTTAATCAAGATTAAAGTTTAATTAACTTAAATGTGGGATGAAGATGGTGAAGGATTTAAGGGGAAACCAAATGATCAACATGATTTAACTATAATGTCCTAATTACTAAGTGAATCATCATTGACATTAAAATGATATTATCATCATCTTTTGCTCATTGTCATTGTCATAAAATGTCAATCATCATCACAATTAATTAATGAGAAAACAATTATTACTCTGGTGATGATATTAATTGATTTTTATTATGGTTATTATCAATTAACTTGAGTTTTACCAAAGTTATTATTAACTTTACAATTGGTAATATAACTTGAGAGTTGGATTAACATTTTCTAATCTGTAATTGATTCTGAATAATCAGATTATCATTTTAAGATTAATCATTAGACTTATCAAGATTATCATTAAGAGATTAATTAATGATTAAGTGATGACTAGTTAAGTAAATATCAGATTTAATTAAAAGGAATCATGAAAGTTAATTTATGACAATTTAACAAAATGGTTATAAATTAGTAGGTTTCATTTCAAGGATTGCCAATGAAAAGGTTAATTGATGATTAGATTAATTAAGGTCATCAAAGTGATTAACAAAATTACAATGATAATCAATTGATGTCTAATTCAATCAAACTTATACAGAGTAAAATTAATCCAAGGGCATTTAAAGCAAAAAAAAAGATGAAGGTTAATCCATTGGAAATGAAAGCAATTAACAAGATTGTAAGGAAAGGATTAAAAAAAAAAATAAGATAAACTAATTGGAAAGTGTAAAAAAAATCAAGTTAATTAACAAGTAATTTGTTGGGGATTCGTGGTAATCACTGAATGAAATAATTACGAACGAGAAGAAATCAAATCATGTTAACAATTAACAGTAGTAAATGAGGAATGATTTAAGTAGAAAACCTTAATTAGTGAATAACAAATCAGATCATTGAAAATTCATACATGAAAATTGAAAATCACAACTTTGATTGTTATTATACAATTTACATTGTTATTGAATACTCATCATGATAATCAACTAATTACTTGTGAATGGATGTAACAAAATTATGAACAAGTTAAATTCAATGAGTAAAGTGATAATCATAATGTAGAGAGGAGTGAGAAAGTGAGAAGTTAATTCATCATCAAATATAATCAAAAGTAACAATCAAACCAAAAAAAGGGTAACAATACAATCGTAATGACAATTGAATGTGTTACCATAAATTGTTGATAGTGAAAATAATACATTGATTGTTGTTGTTTTCAATGAGTTTTTTTCACATGCTATTCAAAGGTAATTGTTTTCAATTTTTGTTGTTGTTGTTTATCAATGAGATAAACACCAAAGGATTGAATGGAAAGTGAGAGAGAGATAAAGGAAAAAGTAGTAGATGAACTTTTTTTTCACCGAAAAAGGATAAACATTATTTATCCATTGGTTTGTTGATTTCTCATTCTCTCTCTCTCTCTCTGTTTATATATTATTATCCATGTGTCTCAATGTAACAGATTAATATGACTTGAGAATAAAGAAATGAGACTGGAATCGATTTCCGTTTCACCTTTGTGTGTATACATATACTCAGAATTACATGGTAATATCAGATGAGAAGCTGAAACACAAACAGAATCAATGATAATGATGATGATGACAATTGTCCAAAGTTGTAATGAGCTTAAAGCATTACAATAATAAATAATCAAGATGATGATGATGATGATGAAGACGAAGATGTTGATATAATAATAATAAAGGAAAGGTCAGCAAATGGACACACACACATAAATACATAAACGATAATCATGAAATGGAATGAGATTAATTGTGAAAATTATGAAACGATGAAGGATAAAAGGACTGACATTGAATAATTAACATCACTTTTTGTTTACTTACAATGAGAAATTAAGTTTCACTGAGAAAGTTGATTAATTTGATAATTCGTAATTAATTTTCACAAGATAAATGATTTTAAATTGACCATTAGATTTAAGTTGATTGTCTCTATATTGTTGATAGTCTTTGGAATGGGAAAAAAATGGCTGATTGGTGTTGGTGTTGTTGAAGAAATCACTATGATTTTATGAGAGATAAATCAAGCGGAAATTGAATGAATAGGATGTGATGAAGGAAGAGAGAAACAAGTTACCATATTATTAGATGTAATTAATTGATTTAAGGCAATAACAAGGCAGAAAGAGAGAGAGAGAGACACAAGGCACAATTAAGTAGATTTATGTACTTAAGATTTAAGTTGATGATGGAAAACACTGACAATCCCAAACAAAGAATAGAGAACAAAAAAAAAGAGAATAGAAAATTATTTTTATGAATATTGAAGAGTAACAATACACTTATTTGAGAAGAGCACACATACACTAGAAGGAGGCGAGAAATTAATTATGAACAATTAATTCACTAATTGTTGACATTAATCAAACTACAATCAATTTATTAATCAACACAAACGAGAAGATTATTGAACAACAACCCGCCCTCTTGAATTTTGATAAAAAGAAAAAGAAAATGTAACTGTAAACAGAATAGAAAATGGGATTGATACACAATTAACTATACCCAAAAAAAGACAAACAATTAGTAAATTGGTTGACTATTGGGTAATTTAAATAATATAAAACAATAGGTACAATCAATTGTAATGAAAAGATGAAAATCAAAAAGACAACAACATGTTGATTAGGATTGACAGAGAAAAAAGCAAAATTGATTAACACCTAATAAGGGAAACATTATTGAAATAGAAGCAAAATTGATTGCAGACTTTCAAGTCAATCATATGATTGATAAAAGGGGACAATTAATTTACAACAATTAACTAATTAACACAAAAGGAAAAAGCAACAAACAATTAAAGTGTTTTAAGAAATTTAAAATTTAGAATCAAAATTTAGAATCGATAAAAAAATATCGATACTTGGGATTCGATCCAAATGTCACATGACAAAAGAAGAGGGAAAATTTTTTTTCTCTTGTTGATTTAAAAGATGATTAGTTAATTGTTGTCAAGTGTTGTGTCATTAAATTAGTATTTTGATTTAGTTGAGAAATCAGTGAATGAATTAGTGTGTGAATGATCAACTGTTAATTGTTGTAAGTCATTGAAATAGTTGGTTAACTGATTAGAATTAAAGATTTTAATTGGCAATCGCCCTTGAGATCATTTATTTATCTTTCTTTTTCTCTTTCTTTTTTTCTCTTATGTTTCTCTAGATAAGTGACTCCATCTTGGATTTGGTTTCTTCTTTTGATTTTCTATTCTTTTTTTTCCTGATTTGTAAGTTGTTTCTCAATAACACAAACTACTAATATATTAATAATCTTATTCTGATGATGTTGGTGTGTGTTTGTGTTTGTGTTTGGTGAAGACACAACGACAACTACTGATTGGAACAATTAAACTGAAAAAGATGCAATCAGAAAAAAAGGTGTACCTGTTTTGAGAGAGACAAGAGTTTGTGATTAATGGGATGACGATGCCAACTATAAGCTCGATGAAACATATTAGACGGATAAAAAAGAAGATATTATTGGTTTATTTTGGTTTAAATTGTTTTTTATTTTCTTTCGATCTCTTTCACCTCAACGACACTACTCTCACCAACTTCACCTACGATTCAACCTGAAATTGGAAACAATAACAATTGGAATAGTTGGAAACATAATAGAAGAACAAAAAAAATACATTGTACTAACGACATCAAACCAACAACAAACCCTATGATTGTCATAAAATGATGAAGTGGCTAATTGATTTCAAGTTAATCATGTTTAAAGGGAAAAAGAGTCTAATGTGTATTAAATAGGCTGATTTGGCGTTTTTATTTCTCTTCACATGACAATTCAACTAATCATCATCCTACTCTCTCTCTCTCTCTCTCTTTTTCTCTCTCTTTAACAGACAACAAACATCATCTTAATCTAGAAATTTACTCTTTGATTGTGGTAACCATGTTAACACCAACCAGTGAATACAATATAATCCTGTTAAAGTCCAGAAAATAAGCAGTTAAATTGTGAGAGAGGATAAGCAAAGAAAAACAAAAAAGAAAACCTGAAAATGAATCATCATTATGAAAAACCATTTACCTGGAAAACGAGAAGCAAAAAGTCATCATGATTAAAATCAACAACAATTTACACACATCGATAATGTACCAACACCTTAACTAACAAGTTTGACAGTTATGGTTGTTTTGATTCTCATGATAATCATCATCATCCATCTAATTCATTGGGAATCTTCAATCATTTTCCATACTCTCTCTCTCACACTCACCATCCCTTTAATTTTATAACGGGTGGTGTATATGTGGTCATGATACTTGATATACTTATTGTGGTTTAGATTAAGGTGGATGTTAATCTAAGCTAATTCAATAAGAGAGAAAAGAGAGAGAGAGAGAGAAAAGTTATATTCTAAATTCTATAATAATAATAATAGTGATTCAACAATGATGATGGTAAATATCATGGTGAAGAAAATGAGAGAGAAAGCAAAAAAAAAATATACCAACCTATTAATTCAGTTCATTGTGATAGTTAATATTTATACTCTGATTACACCCACCAAACTATTTTAACTTTACCTTGAACAATTTAGCATCATCATTGAGTCAATTGAGATTATAATGAATATTATTTTTTTTAGGTTGGTTGAAATTAGCTTTAAGACATTAAATAATAATAACGTAGGTAGCCATTAATTTAAAGTGATGAACACAATTAACTGTTGGAAAAAAATTTATCTCCAATAGTTAATTGTTACCAGACACACACCGCACAAACAATTTATGTGTATTAATAACAAATTACATTGATTTCATCTTATAGAATCAGCTGACGAAAACCATTTGGGATAAATTGACCCTCAGGAAAATAAAACCAATTCCACTGATTGTGATTAATTATCCACAACAATTAACGTAATTGCTGCCATCTAATGATGAAGAATCGTATTGAAGAAACCATAACAACAACAACAACAACAACAAAGATTTGAAGGTAACCCAAAGGAAAAGCACATTGATTGTTGATTGCGTTTTTCTTGCTAATCATCATTAGTAAATTGTGATTATGAGTAAGTAGATGATAGGAAAGGTAAGTTAATTACCTGAGATGAATACGATGAAGATGAAACGTTGGCTAAAGATGAGTAGATTAAGAATGTAAATTTAGATCCGTTGTCATCCTTTAAATTGATTCTTATGTTGCTAGTGTTGGTTAATTGTTCACAAACATCATAATAATCCAAGTTAATTTGTCCACAGTGTTTTTTATCAAATCCAAGGCCCAGCTGATTGTTTTGAAGGAAAAACAGTTGAGAGAGAGAGAGAGAGAGAGAGAAAAGTAAAACAAAAAGGATCAACACTTTAGGAGTTAAAATTATGGAAGATAATCCAAAGATTAAGGTGATTTAATGATTATTGATGGAAACACGAAGAAATCAATGAGAGATTAACATAGTATGGATACTAAAGGAAAACAACAACACCAAAAGAAATTAAAGTTAATTACTTGGGTAGTTTTCTTTATCACTACTAATTGGAAGGTTCAACAAGTGGATTTTGTTGGTGAGTTTGTTGTTCGGGTGATTAACAATTAGAGATTAATTGTGAATTGTATCCAAGCAATCGATGGATTTAATGAGAAGAAAATAATATCAAAAAAGATCATACATATCAGGTTTTTCCATACATAAAGAAACAACAACAAACTTTTCATCAAGAATAAGGGAGAAGAGAGAAGAGAGAGAGAGAAAAGATGAGAAGGAGATTAAAGAGAAGATAAGTGATGACGAGAGAGAGAAAGAGAAAGAGACGAAGCAGAACGAGAGAGGATGAATAGGAAGGAAAAAGAAAGAGAAATGAAGAAAAAATTTAAAGAGAAACGAGATGATAAATTTCTGCAAAAATGGGAGTAAACAGAGAGCGAAAGAGAGAAAAGAGAGAGAGAGAGAGAGAGAGAGAGAGAGAGATGGTGATGATAATGATGAGGGAGAGAATATGAAAACCCTGAAGAAAATATAACTTGGGGGTGAAAAAGAGACTAGAAGATAATGAAAGAAGATGAAGACGAAAAAAGGGAGAGAATTATTAATAATGTTCATAGATGATTTTTCTTCTCTTTTTCTCTTTTTACCTTTACAACTTTATCTTCTTTTAATCTTCATCCCTCCCTCCCCCTACTCTCATCATCATCATCAACAACAACAACACGATGATGATGATGATCGTATTCATGTTATCCATTGAAAAACCCACTCATCATCACTAAAGAGACTCTTGAACAACCTTTTAACTTTACGTATCAATCACAGACAGAATTCATTTTTGTTGCAATTTGTTTTGTCAATTTAATTTTCCTTCCTCATCATCATCATCATCATCGTCATCATCATTATCCTCATCATCTTTGGCATGGATTTGGCAGCTCCCATCATGTGCATCAAAATCAATCAGCTGAGTCATTTTAATAGATTCCTTGTATTACATTTTTGTTAAAATTTTTTTTTTTGTTGCAGATCTTACAATCAGATTAACATTATAACGTTAGGATATCAAGTTAACGTATCATCTAGACCATTAATTGTCATTCAAATATATAATCAGTTATTATTTATAACTTAATAAGATTGCTGTAAGTTAATCAAGATACTCAACAGAATATTGGATTATCAATTTGGCAAATTATTTCGAGTGAAAATTATGATTACCTGATTCTGATAATAATACAATTTGTTGGCCCGTAAAATGCAATAACTTGTCCTCCAAGAGCCTTTTGAGTTAATACTATTTAACCATAAAGGTGTAAACCATTTTCGTGAAGCCAATTTATTGAGATAACCTTTGATAGGAGCCTCAAGTTCAATTTGATTTAAATCATCAAGGTAAGAAGGGTAACCTGGGCTGGTGGTTACTCCTAGACGAGACTGGAATAACAGGTAAATAAGATGATGAACAAGTAGATGATGATGATGATGGTGATGGTGATGGTGATGATGGAGATGAAGATGGAGAGAAGGAAGAAGAAGAAGATTAGAAATCACTAATTAGCATAACCATTTATGTAATGGAAGATGAAGGAGAGAGAACATGATAACATGATGAAAACAGAAGAAGATTAAGATTAAGATTAAGAGAGAGAGAGAGAGAGATGGAAATTAAAAGGATTTTTTTTTAACTCTGGTTGTTTGTTTTTCTTTGACTACAATCCACTAGTTGATTATTTCTTGATCTTTACCCAAAAGTTTAGGCTTGGTTTTCATTTTAATTGGAGAGAAAACAATTAACTTAACAACCATGATAGTATAATATATTGAAGGGTAAAATTTGACTCTCTCATGATTAACTTCAATTAATCAAAATTGTCAAGAGAATTTAAGTTGGAACCAATAGGATTGCAATTTAAACAAAGTCCCCAAAGATTTTCCCTCTTTCTTTTCTTTGTTCTCTTTCTTCATTTTCTATTTTCATTTTTTGTTCTTTTCTAAAATGTAATTTTTTAGATTAGTTTGGCTTAAATTAGCCACATATTTTCTTAATTATGTCCCAAGTGAATTAATTTTGTTTTCTAAATGTAACCAGTAATGTGTTGTTCCAACAACAATTACATTCTTTAAGATGTTTCCTTTTCCGTTCTAATTCACATAAATAGTGAACCCCAAAAAATGTAACAATTAGAGTTAGTTTCATCTTCAACTTGTTCAAATATAAAAGTGTCTCAGTTTTTCTTGTTCCCTGAAATTCTGTCTTGTTAATTACTCTAGTAATTTAGTGTGATTAGTGTTGTGAGTCTGATTTAGCCTTAGTGACATAATCTACAAACGACTATCCAAGATACGAATCGAAATCAGGTAAAATTGTGAAAGGACCTGAGTGCATCTTCTACATTTAATTGATTCTTTCATTTAAATAAATTCAAATTAAACACTTTCACTTGGCGACCCAGGCAGGATAGCCGTTTGAGATAAGTGATTATGTCTAACTCTGGTGATGTCGGTTTGGAACCGAAAGTTAAAGATATTTCGAGTGAGGAAATTTCTAAATATATGTTGGCTTGGGGATTGGAATCGCCCAATGGAGCATATGAGAGGATTTTATTTAAATCCGCCGTGGTGACACAATTGGCATTGTGTAAATTGAATTATAGTGCTGTAAACGCTGAGAGTTTAAGTGCTAATATCTTGGATGGTATTATTACTCCAGAGTGGGTAAAAGAGATGAGAAAGGAATCTATTCCTGAATCGGATATTAAGGAGATAGTTTTGAAACTTGGTATTAAGCAAGAGGTAATTAGCTTAGCTTCGGAAGCTGCGGTTAGAAAGCTAAATGTCTCGAATCCAGCGAAGAGAATCATTTGGTCAATGATTAAGAAGTGGACTTCGATTCAACCTAAGACGTCAACTGCCAAGAAAGTGATAAAACTTGACTCAATGATCCTAAAGGAAATGGATTATGATGACCCTACGATCGATAAAAATGACAATGAAGGTGAAGAAGAGGAACCTTTGGTTGCCGAACTTCCGAGAGTTACTTCACCACCCCGCTCACCTTTAAGAACACCGTTTGAACCTAATCAACATTTCAATTTTCAGCCTCCAGTTTATCATGTTAGTTCCAAGGATCCAGTGATCCCTTTGTTCAAACAAAATGCTGATGCTTGGTCTTGGCTAAAGAATGTGAAAAGGCAATTACGATACGAAAATGTTTCAGATGAAACTCGATTACGAGTGCTTAAAAAAGCGTTGGCTTTTGAATTGTTGGATGCAGCGGACACGTTGGATGAGGAAGAGCATACATATGAGAGTTATGTTCAAGCTTTGGAAAGCTATCTTCGAGGTCCTACGGCATTGGCAACAGCTCAAGCGGAATTAAGCTCTATGGTATATAGTTTCGATGAACATCCGTCTCAATTTGTCGACCGATTAAGAGACCGTGTTACTAAGGTAAAAGGTAAAATGTCTAAAGAAGGTTTTCTTTACGAAGTATTGGAACACTTACCAAGAAATCTACGAGAAAAGGTAATCGAGGTACGAGCTAATACCGATTTAGACTCTTTACTTGGTTTACTTATCCATAAGTATTTCATACAAATGGAAGAGAAAAGAAAAAGTATCCATGAGAGAAAAGGTAAAGGTAATTCTGTACCAAATAATCGAGGTAACAATCAATCAAATTCAACAATTACTTGTTATAAATGTGATGGTGAAGGACATTACGCGAGAAATTGTCCCAAAAACAACGAAAGTGCAAAACCTGAAAGTTCACCTCAAGTGAAAACAAGTGCTAACTTAATGAGTTCAACTTCAGCTGAAACAAAAGTACCTGATTCATCCGAATTCATGTTCATGGTGAATTGTAATCAACAGAATCGACCGATGATTACGAAAATGGACCCACAAATAGTGAACATCCCAACGGTAATGATGCATCTTTGTAAACCAAATCGTGAATTGGTTCGAAGTGGTGAAGTTCTAATCGACACTGGAGCAAATACAGCTTGTATTGACTATCGATTAGCTGAACAATTGGATGCATTCATTATGAGATCAAATGTTTCGGTAAAAGGTATAGTTGCTGACAATTATCTTGATATCGAAGGAGCAGCTTATGCTCTTATGAAACATAAGGACATGGGTACAGTCAAAGCGCTAAGATTTCAAATAGCCCGAAATTTAGAACCAATAATGGTGGTTGGAAATGGTTTCAATGACATGTTTTATACGACAATTAAAAACAATGGTGGAAATTATTCAGTTTCTCTACAAGAATATGTCGATAGCGACCCAGTTTCAAATGAACTTCTATTCAGATTCTGTACTCCAGAAGAATCAATTGAATTGAGTCGACGAGTCGAAAGTGGTATTCTAAGGAAACCAAAAGTCGAAGATGAAAAGTTAATTCATTCAAATGAAAACCCGAAAGCGAAGCTTTTCATTCAGACATTGGAAGAGACTAAAGAATTGGATCAAATTTCTGTTTATTTCCAAACAAATAGAAAAGAAGAAGTTCCTGAATTATCTGAACGATTAAAGAAAAGAATGAATCCTGATTTAAAAGAAGATCAAGTGAATGAATTATTAGAACTTCTAATGAGATTTACTGATGTTTTCTCAAAGCATCGAAAAGATTTAGGTTTCGTTCCATGGGAAAAGTGGCCGATTAAAATTGATATTGGAGATTATCAAGTTCCCTTTCAGAAACCGTATCCCTGTTCAATTCACATCCGAAAAGCTTACCAAAGCCTAATCAATGATCTACTTGAGTTAGATATTATTGAACCTTCGGATGCTCCTGGTGGATCTCCAGCCTTTATCATTCCTAAATCTGATGGATCGTATAGATTGTTAAATGACTTGAGAACAGTCAATCGAATGACTAAAGTTGTTTTTCATCCGATGCCTCGAATAGATGATTGCCTGGAAGCAGTTAAAGATTCAAAGTACTTCAACATGTTCGATTTATATCAAGGGTATTTTCAAATCGAAATTCCACCTTCGGAAAGAGGTAAAACTGTATTTGTTACTCCCGATGGGAAGTTTCAATACAAAAGGTTACCAATGGGTTTGGCTTCAGCCCCATTCGAATTTCAACAATTAATGAACAAAGTGTTAAAAGGATTAAATTACTCGGAGTGTTTAGGGTATTTTGACGATGTACCAGTAATGGGAAAAAGTTGGCCTGAACTTTTAGATAATACTGAAAGAGTTCTAACTCGATTAAGAGATTGGAATCTAAAAGTCAAAACGGATAAATGCAAATTTGGTTGCACCGAATTGGTATTACTTGGTCATTTGGTAAATGGAAAAGGTATTCGTCCTGATCCTGGTAAGGTAACAGCGTTAAAAAATCTCCCCTATCCGAATAATTTGAAACAATTACAATCACAACTTGGTTGTTATAATTATTTTAGTCGATATATACCTAATTATGCTGAATTAGCTGCACCGTTATATCGATTAATATCGAAAGAAAGGAAATTTAAAATGTTAAAGGAAGACTATCAAGTGATGGATAAATTGAAACAATCATTAATCGAAACAACGATGTTGGTTCATTTCGATCCAAATCGAAAGAAAAAGTTAACGGTTGATGCTAGTGATTTAGCAATTGGAGGGATTTTACTTCAGGAAGATCCTAATCAACCAGAATCAAATGAGTTGGAAGAAATTAAAAACTGGCTTCCAATATCCTTCTTCTCTCAGAAATTATTAAAACATCAAATTAATTATTCAGTGAGTGAAAAAGAATTATTGGCGATATTGATTGGAATCAATAAATTTCGACATTATTTGGAAGGTGATGAGTTCATTGTGGAAACCGATCATCATGCTTTATGTCAACTTCCTAAGATCAACTTCAAAAACCAAAGACTACAACGATGGAGTATAATGCTTGGAGCTTATAAATATAAGGTAATTTATACTCAAGGTTCGTTACATCCGTCCGACTGTTTCAGCCGATACCAATCGGAATGGGATCATAGGAAATCAATTGATCCAGAAAGTGAATATGTTGAACAATTGTTAATGATAACAAGTGATCCAACTTACATTGATTGTGACAATCAAGAGAAATCAATTCAAAATATTAGGGAATTGAATCGAGTGATTAAACCTAATTCTGTGTTCTATTTCAAATTGAACCCTAATTGGAAAGAAGAAATTATCAGTTATCAAGTGAAAGATCCAATGATATCTGAAGTGATACAACAATTGAGAGAAAATTCAAAAAGTGATTATCACAAAAAGTTTGTGATAAGAGATGAAGTTCTTTACCGAAAACCAATGGTGACAAATGAAAATTATCGAATAGTGATAACTCCTAAGTTATTGAATAAGCTATTTGAAGAAGAACATAATTCAGTTCTAAGTGGTCATTTCGGAGTTGAGAAGACTTATCTTCAAATTTCTCGTCGATTTTGGATGCGATATCTTTATGA